CCCGCGTTTATATCACCACACGCTGGCGTTTCCTGCATACGCGTTCCATCTCGATCAAAGCTACCACCCAGTAGCTTGTTTATGTGACGCGCCGCTACCTCTGTGTCGTTGCTGCTAGGGGAGGCCATAACGGGAATAATGTTAGGGTTTGAACGAATAGCCACACAGTGCTAAATGACTCCTTGTATCGCCATTGTTCGAAGCCACTTCGGAAACCATTTCCGTCAGCGATATCGCCGCCAAAATCCCGCCGTTCGACGTTGTACACCCGATTGATTTACTGTGTGTGTTACACGACATGTACAAAGAAGCTCAAAAGGTTTCATGTTTACATGATACACCAAATCTCAAACTGGCTACATCTGCAAGTATTTTAACATTTCGACTGCACAGTTCTAATCCTGTTCCGTAACAAACTATGCCCACACGCCCATAAGTCAAAAGGTCCTGTCTACCGGTTGGCGTTATACTTTACTAGGCGAACGTAGGCACAATCAATAGTCTTGGATGAGGTGCCCGTCATGGACTGTTCTTGCATGGGCTTAGTAGATACCTTGGACCACCAAGGTATCATTCCCAGAGTACGACTAAGATCCCCGATGCGCACTCCTTCGTCCATGTCCTTCATCACATTGGGCCTGTGCACCTGAAACATGCTTCATCTGGGTTTAGCGTAGGATATGCAGGCACCACAACACACACCGTCCTTTGTAAGGGCATCAACGGAACAACGTATACGTCTTACAATGGATGAGGTGCCACATCCCGTGCATATGTCTCTTGAGTGAGGTGCCGAAATCCTGGACCCATCGGACCGATGTCTCTCCTCCTGCACACCAGATAAACGCCCCCCACCTTTAATGGCCATCGGAAACACACCCAGTCGGCACGCCAACGATCCTCACCTCATATCCCATCGCCCTTGCCTCGGCCATTAGAACGACTCTGTAGTCAAATGTCGGTAACTCCAGCAGTATGACATCCTCGAGGCTTGTTGCGCTGTGATTTACGAGTCTATAATCAGCTATTGACGTCATAAACCGGCGACCTTTGGCACGTGTAATGCTCGACTCCGACTCGTCCGGATACGTGGCGTATATGAGCCTCAGCTACATGAACGGTGTGGGTGCATCGGGTGTTATTGCAAGAGACGCACGGGCTTCTGAAATCGCGCGCGCCCTGTGCTGTCTAGGACTGCGCCTTCCACTACCCAGGAATGGGTCCAGAGACCTAAGAATCGTGGCCGCGCTAAGGGTCTGACCTCGTTGTGACATTATGGCACCTTGCACCTGCATTATGGCGTAGGCTATAGTGGGCTTAGACCGTATGAAATAACCCCGGGTGTTGCGCCGACGAGGCTCCAGCACGTCGCGCGCTTTACTACGCGTTGCGCTCATCATGCCACTACCAACTGAAATCGGTAACATTAGGCGGACGTTAGGGTTTTGTAAGTGTCTGTCCTACGGAAATCGAGGAACGGGCTGGTGGGACGATTGGAAGCGGTGTGGAATGGTTTGTGGAGTGTTGGCACGCTTTCATGGTCAATTGGGTGTACCGAGCACAAAGTGCAAAATTACTTCGCGCGTTCTTCAGTACGTGCCATATCGGGGAGGTGAACATTTTACTCGCTCTCGGATTGAGCGTGGAATGTGCTATATCCCCAACGTGAACAATCTCGTTACGTACACAATGATTGACAATGTGCGTATTATTCGACAAATACACCGGTTACTGAGATCAATAGGGCTCATCAGTTACTACATCCCATACTCAATATCCCCATGCACGCTAGACATGGATGCCGTTGGGGAGTTGAAGCATATCTCCTCGCTGGCCGTGGAAGACATGGACGAGGAAGGCGCGTATGAATGCCTCCTAACCTTCTTCTCTGGTGTGCGCAGCAGACGGTCAACGAGGTCCGGGTTCCCCAAGCGCTTAAGCGTGACGACGACACTCGGAGCTACTCCCGTCGCGCTAGCAAGCCTTGTGTACGCATCAGATGCCATACGCATGAGCCGGCGGCGAGTCCTGTCGTCCCATTTGACACGGCCGACACAGCTTGAATCATCAATCCGACGGATGACCGGCTCTGGAAAACGTTCGGCCGTATCCTCGTCCATGGTGTCATCCCAAGTTGCGTAGTCCAATGCATCCATCACGCAGTCGGGGATGTCCAACTGGTCCAGCCTCCTCTGCAGGCCCGTGAGGCTAACGACGAGCTGCTCCACAACCTCGACATGCATGTCGCAGTTGATCGCCTGAAGCCGAGGCAGCCACTCGTCCGGGACGCACCCAGTGCGCCAAAACGCGAGCTGAATGTGAGATGTCGCCACCCCCCATAGTGCCTGGAATGTCCACTGCAACGTGTTCGCGGCCGATGGAGAGTTGCTGGTCCACACCCAAGCTGGAGGCACGCGCCTCATGAAGCGAGTCTGGTGGTCCACCCACATTGTGTGGAATTCGGACCTGAAGAATGTGACAATGCCCTGCACGACGGGGTTCCCCACGTCTGGTACAACATCATGAAGCTGCACAATGCGAGTATGGGTTAGGTGGTGCACCATGAAGGGCCCACTTGGCTCTCGCTTGCCCTCTCCCCAAGTGAGCTTGTGCCTACGCGAGGACACAAGGACGACGATGTCACGGTCCTCTGCAAATTTCGCAGCGTTGAGGCCTAGCATGAACTGCGTGAAAAGCTGCACGTAACAACATAGAGTATCACAGAGACATATTTTTAGCACCAACGTATTGAGTCCATATATAAGAGACATTGTTGCGTGTCATCTCTAGTACAATTGGCCATTACCTGGGGGGTTATGCGGCCGGACCGAGTACGGCGTATATATGCCCACTGGTCGCCGCTGACATCGTGGCCCAGCCTCAGTGGCTCCCGGTCAGCGCTCACTACAATTGGCCTGAAGCGATGCGCGCCGTCTGCGGAATAGAGAAGGCCGATAGACAGCCTCTTCATATCATTCCCATTGCGACCGACGAACGGATGCAGGTATGGCTGCAGAGCAGGTAGGAGAGAAACCTCTACAAATATGTAGACGTCGCTGGGAGGTGCGCCAAGGCGCGACAAGAGATCCTTTAGAGCGGCCATGGAAGTAAAGTGGCGTCTGCTACAAATGGCGGCCTATGATATAACCGGTAGGATTGGCGAGTACAGCGTCCAATGTACCTGCTAATTGACAATGAGTGAGTCTAGCGTGAGAAAAACATCGGCGCAAGCTGGCCACTCCCTCTTTGCCCTGACAGGCGTGGATTGGCCATAGAAGCTACTGATTGCGCAATGACGTGGGTACACCTCATAGGCTACCACGGTTGTGCACTCTTGAAACCACATGTTTGTGCCCTGAAAGCTAATCTGTTAGTGACATTTCCGTACACTGTACAGTATATGCCCGGGTCAGTTGGGGTTCCGAGATAGTGTGCGCATTCATGCGTACGTCAGTACACTGTTACATTGCATGGTATAGTTATACTGTTTAGGAACTATCACGCCGCATCGCCCTGAACATCAATATACATCATTTAATTTGGATGCTCCACTCATCCTCGATACGTTCAGTGATCGACAATTGTTCAATGGTGTAACTGAAACGAAGTCGAAATAAACCCATTTGGTTGCCGAAATGTTACATCGCTGTTGATCGCATTTGGTTATAATCATAACGGGACATATGTCGTCCCGATAATGGCTGCACAATTGAGTTTATAAAGGTTCCGCGTAGTATCGGCGGTGCATGCTGACGAGGGTACAGTAATCTCGACTCAATTGCACTGTGACAAGTGTCAAATATGGCTGGAACCCGCTGCCAATCACGAACCGCCATGGTGGTATCCACATTCTACAATCTCATCTGTCCCTGAGTCTCCGTCGTCTGAGCAAATCAGATGTTTATCGCCGAAGATGCCTGGTGGAGTGTATAAACGCAACAATTGCACTACAGCCCGACAGTTTAGTTCTTGCCACCCTAGGGTTTCGGCCTTTCTCATGAAGTCGCCATGGTACCGCGAACCAAAGCCCAGGCCTCTAAACGAGGCCTCCATAGTCCACAAGCAATGACATCGCGTAGGCCACCGGCAGCGCCGCGGCGGGATAACACCACGATCCCGGAATCGATGAGCAACAAGCGGCTGCGCTCGCGTGAACTCAAGCAGGGGGATACGAATACCGAGGCCGCAGTGGCCGCGTCGGTTTCAGCATGGGGCTCGCGGCTGCCATGCGTCAAAGATGAGCCCGCGCCGAATGACGCGCTGACTGCTCTACTGAACGCACCATCTTCAACGACCTTTAAGACGGTGTCTCTGTATAACCACATGGGTGTGGGCTGTCAAGTGACTGCGCACGACGCATTGACGCTCGCCGACAAGGAATATCTGGGCGACGCGGTCTTCGATTTCCATAACATGTACGTTTTTGGTTGGCGATACTCCTCTAGGTTGCTTTGTCGCCACCTACGGTATGCCAACTTTAACGTTCAAGATTTTATCGTGCGTTATCCCTTCGTACCAGTGCAGCCTCCTGAACATCAGGTACCCAAGGTGTCCGAACGGGAAATCATGGGTGGTCCTTGACAGCAAGGCGTATGCGTATGCCAAGCTTCACAAGAAGCCGATTGGGAGGTGCACGGGCCCGTCTGTGTTCGAGTACGATTACATCGCCGTCCCGGTATATGCCCGGTAAGTACGTCTTTTGCAAGCTGCTGTAATAAGCCCGTCTGTAGCCCCAGCCTAACAAAGGCCCCTCAATTGTGCAGGAAACACTATTCTTTGATGGTGGTAACCAACCCCAGCAGGATTGTAAGCCAGACGGCCGCACCTGTGGAGTTCATTCTGTTCGACAGTGACGGCCTCCACGCCAAGACTACTGATGCCTTTGACGGGACTAAAGCGTGAGACTCGCTATATATCACCGTGAAACCACCTTTCAGCGGTGACGTCCTGCGACCTCATATGACCGGTTGGCTATATCGTCGTGCAGGTTATTGCACCTCATGTGCAAACGCGATCATCCGGAGGTGGACCAGGAGGCGTCTAGGCAAGCGCTCATCAAGGCAGAAACGATAATTATGGAGGTGAGATGCTGCAAAGACAGTATGGCTCATTCTATCCCACTTGCTTTCTAATACGGGAGCGCGTTCTGATGAACGGAAACATGGTGTCTCGATGGTGCGCAGGGTCACCAGATCCCCAAACAACCTAACAGCTGGGACTGCGGAGTGTACATGTGCTAGTATCTCGAAGCACTGGTGACATCTGGGTTCATAACCGTGAGAGAGTACATATCGTTCAAGGGGGTGAGCGCTGAGAGGTACCGCCACAAGATGCGTGGGGATCTTTGTTCTCATGCCGAGGGAACGCTGATTCCCGAGCTGCAGCGCCAGGGTCTCCGCATACCTCTGCAACCTATTCCCGTTATCGACGACAAAGGATACATCTGCGTCGACCCTCCCGTGGACATCCGAAGAGAGCTGCTAGACCATAAGGAGAAGTTCGCTGTGATTGAGCACGACATACAAGTTCTGACGGCCAAGATCGAGTATCTGGCCATCCGCAAAGGCGTGACGTCGGACGAGCTGGACGCAGGGGCGCGCCAACACCTTGGTGCCGTGGTGGACACGCTGGTAGAGTCGGCGACTCCACGCAAGCCCGCTAAAGCAGACCCTACCGCGGACAGAAGTGGCCCAATGGAAGTCGCGCACACTCCACCAACGCGTGCACTGGCGGCAGTGCCATCAATCTCTCCCTGTCTTGCACCTCACACACCTGCCGAGAAAGATAGCCAAGTTACTGCCGGAGACGCGACACCTGCTGTGGTCAGGCAACAACAGCGCGACCATCTTGCAGTGGCTTTGCGCAACCGCGCTAAGACTCCCGTGCCCGCAGCTCCAGGTAACCCCGGAAGGGTCGCAAGCAGCGGCCGAACGGGAGTTATGTGGAACGCAGAGAAGCAGAGGTACTACGTCCGGATCATATCTGCTCGCCGTCAGCAGGTTCGTCTAGGGTCGTACGAGGACAAGGACGAGGCGTCATACGCGTATGCTGCGGCAGCTGTTGTACTTCGCCCGAACTCACGCATCAGCTGCACGGTTGAGCTGTCCGACGGTGACAGGCAGGCTTTAGCAGGCTGCACAGAGGAGATCCTAAGGCTACTCGTGAAGTACAGGCGGTGGAACAGATGGAGGGAGTGGAGAGCCGCAATGGCTGGCGTGGACGACGCGCAGCCGGTCGATCGCCGTTCGCGGCGAAAGGGCAGAGTGTCCCGGGCCATTAGTGACGTTGAGGAGGTGGAGGCGATCACGCAGACTACAGAGGACCAGCCTATGGCAAACGAGCCAGAGGACCGAACAGAGGACTACATGGATGACGATGAGTCCGTTGACGATGATGCTGTGTATGAACTTGGAAACGATACTTTCGACGAAGATGATGGATGGGAGGATGTCAACCGTGCACAGGGTGTTGCATGAAGCACTAAACAGGGTGGCCATTGGACGAGGGGTTGTTGTAGTTGTGTGCTCATACTGATAGGACTTAGACCTGGTGGCGGGTAGCCAAATCTGGAAATGTAAGCATCGCATCTACCACGGTTTTGAACTGTCCATATCCAGGAGATGTGAATATATGACAAAGACCTCTTAAACGATGCACATGTTGAAACTGTGACAACGGTTGGGGGTAGTAGCAAATGGTGAAAAAAGCGGGTGTATAATTGGAGTAACGCATCTGACAGAAACGTGGACGAGCATCGACGATGTGACAATCCTGGCACGGCGACATGTTACATGTGGAAATTGTGGCTGACAATTGTCTGTAATCAAACTGGCCACTCTAACCGTGACATGTGTAGAATTGTGCGCGTGGCTAAGAGCGTGAGGCAAATAGTGCGGTGACAAACTCCGTTATCGAGCATTGCGATGTACACGAGAGTGGTAAGGGGACTGATGCGAGCGAAGGTAGAACCCCAGGGTGGTTTAGAGCTACGCCATTTCGAACCCGTTGTGTATGCGGTCTGAGATGCTGTCTCCGCCAGAGGTCGATATGACTCCCACCGACGGCGGTCGTTCCAAGCGGGCGAAGACTGCGCCGTCATGGTTAGCTGAGTCATATGAATACGGGGAGCGGAAGAAGAAAGGACGACCCCTAGCGGAACCCAAGAGGCGTAAAACAAGCACAGGAAAATGTGGCGCCGCGGATAAGAACGCGGGGCATGACGAAGGTAACATTTGTGACGTGACATGTACGTTGCATTTCATGTACCAGTGCTAATGCTTGTCGGTGGTGATATATGCCGTATGCGCACGCAAACTACACACCCTTATACCTACCACGCAACTGGTCACAGAGACTCGAGAAGTGCCGCTGCAGATATGCAGCGCCAACGCTGTCGGGGCCGTCAACGCGGAGGCAGCCTGCACGCCCATTGTCGCCAACGCACCGCAAGGGGAGGAGGACACCGAGGCCGTGAAGGAACGCCTGATAGACGAGTTAATGGAAGGCAAAGATGAGGACGACGAGGATGGAAACGGTGGTGGTCAGTCGTCAAGCAACGATCCGTGTGGCGAGAACGGATCAGAGGAGGAGCAGGCCACAAAAGCGCCACATTCGAGGAAGCGGATAGATGCAGCCGATGGCCAAGTCACACGCGAGGAATTTGATGCGTTGCGTGATTCCCAGAATGATACCGCGAAGACACTGGCTCGTCTTGAGTCACACGTACTGACCATCATCCGCCTTGGCGAACGGCGTAAGCGCACGCGGGCGTCCACAAGTGCCGCAGCTTCGCTCGGCCGGGAAGTTTTGAAGCGGAAACGCCAGTCAGATGATGACGAAGAATCCACGTGCGATGAGGACGATTTGCCGGCGAAAGTGGCACGGCACACGCGTCACGACAAGTCGCCAGTGCTCCAAACCGCCCTTGACATCCTTCCAGCAGAGAAGGCTTGGAAGGTGAGGCCTCGCATAGTGTGTTCTGCTCACGTCGAGGCACAGTTGGTGGATACACTACATATGTCGTCACCGTTTCCCCCCCCCGTACAACTATTTTCAATGTCGCAGGGTGTTTGCGACATGGTTAAGGATTATCTGTTTGTAGAAGCCCCGAACGAGAAGATGGACTTCTATCCGAGTCGCGACGCCAAAAACGCGGGCCTATGCCATGTGATGTCCACCATTTCTCCCAAAACTGCGACTCTGGCTTTAGACGCTGATAAGGCTCGACGGCAGGATCTGAACAAGACATTGTCCGAGTACAAAACAGGGTTGGCCGGACGCGCTCGCGGAGTTTTTCTTCCACGAATTGGTCTTTTTCGTGACGACGAGGACAGGGCCAGTCCTTGGGCACGTAAGACGGAGCGCACTGAGGAGCGTGCATGAAAGAGATATTGCGTCCCTGTCCCAGACGATGGTGCGTGTTCGCTTGTCATATGGCCGGAGCGACTTTCCGCAACTCCTGTGTCGTGCCATAGTGGACCAGACATGTCTTTGAACCCTCCCCTTTTTCCGTACGCGGTATCGTTGTACCCGTTTTGCATTCCACGTGCGCAGGGGACCCGACCTTGTGCAAGTGGCACATCAGCAAAGATGGACTGCCATTTGCATCCGGAGCGTTCGCGGCATGTGCCATCGCGGCTTTCGGAGGGAAGCGGAAGGACAAAGAAACAACTATAAAGCTGTACCACATGTCGTGGCTCGAGCACCTTGTACGTTTACACCGATGTGAACATATGTTGTAGCCACTTTCCTTCAACTCGCCGTTGTAAATGGGCTTCTCCTGCCTTCGCAGATCACGGACGCCATTATCAACTGGGAGAAGCGCAAGGGGAAACTACACAACTCTCCGTGCGAGAATGGCGCTTCTGTGCGGAGGATTCAGAAGCTGGCCTTCGATGCCATTGCGGATGCAGTATGCCGGAATGAAGTGCCCTACGACGAGGGGAAGAAGTCCTGGAAGTGGGGCAGGCTTGGGCTCCGCCTTTCATCTTGCGACCTGGAATGCCTCCTGGAAGATGAAGCAGCCTCCGAAGACGAAAAACATGAGTCCTCCGCGTCGGAAGCATCGGATAGTGAAACAGATGGGTGACGTCCTGATAGTGTGTTTAATCCAATTGTGTGTCGTAGACTAGTGTAGTGGTTTAGTGGGGATAGGTTGTGGTTGTTGTTGGTTCAGAGCATTTGTGCACTAAATCGGTGACATATATGTTGGATATTGCACACCTAGCGGAGACCTTGTGCATGTTGGACACGAGAATGGTTGAAACGCAACACTCTGCATTCCGCGCAGTACGGCGACAAATGCGGCGCTAATCGCGGCGACAGATGCGGCGGGGTAAATAGAAGCCGTTAGATGTTACGCTAGTCTAGCGACGTGGATAGAGGGCAACCGTACAATATGCCGAACCGCTCATCAATGAACCGCGGCTTTTTTGTTTGCCCGACGACGGTGTCTAATGGCTATTTGCCACGTGTGTGATGGATATGGTCACCGGTGTGTTATCGTGAGATCTGCGACGATTACGTGTGAACGTGCGATTGGTATTAGTAGTCCTAGTTGGGAAACCCTATCACCGAACGGACGGCGTTTGTAGGTACAGGTGGATTCCACTACAAATCGTGGGATGGCATTTGTATCGGACGGACGGTAGAGATGAGGCGTATGGGTGTGAGATCTGGAGGTTGTCGGCGTATCCGGTGCGGCCATGTGCCGTGCTGCGGTTGGCATAGCGGAGTTGCCACGCGACAATCGCGTGCGTACAACTGTGGCCATCTCGACCGTACATGCGGCATGATACGATTCGTTCTGGTTTGGCATCCACCTGTCATAAAGCGTTATTACACGTGTAAATAGTATGCTGACGTGGAATAGTGACTTCATGTATGCTAATCGGCAGCTATGTGGCAACACATAGGTGTAACCGTGGAATGTCTGCATGGTGACGCAAATGTCACTGGCAGCTACATGACGTAGAAGCGACCCACATGACGCCGTGCGGGTTGCGGCCATGTTGCCGGAAACGTTGCTACAAAGCTGCGGGAAAGTTGCGGGAAAACCACTTTCCCTGTAACCCTGACCCAGAAGCCTTTGACCTAGACTTTTTTTTTGCGAAACAGAAGTTGCGAAAAAGCAACTTTGAAGCTGCAGGGAAGCAACTTTATGTGCTTGGTTTTTTCGCGATGTTGTATAGTGCCTCGGCGTCGTTCGCGTCCTTCTTAGCCTTGTTCAGCACAACCTTATGGTCATCAGCTTGTTTCCTCGTGTCCGCCTTGTCCTTGTTTGTCGCAGCCCACTCAAACTGCATTCTCGAGACGCGCTCAACAGACCGCTTCGCCTGCTGTACAAGCGCGCCCTGAATCCGAACCGCCTGAGCGCGGATCGACTGCGCCTCGAGAGCATCCACCTGCGCCTAGGGCGTCTTGAGCTTCGTTGTGAGCCGCGCGCAGTACGTCGAGTCGTCGCTCGCCTCCTTGACGATCGCGTTCTGCTCCGTCAGCAGATCCGCCGTAAGATTCGCGCGCGCCTCATCGCGAAATTCCGAGTTTGCACAAAATGTACACGGTAGCTTTTCCCGCAGGAAATCTTCGGAAAAGCTTCGGAAAACCATCGGCGCGCACAATTGCACCTGAGTGGCCAAAGTGACATTGCACCAACGACATTGAAGTGTCGCCAATGCTACTTTGCAGTTACAATTGTGACTTCGAAGTATCAAGTTCACCAGTGATCCCGGCCATACCCCAATTCCGTATCAAAACAACGCTATGACTCCATGTTTGGGGCGACACTTTGGGCCATATTGTTATTCATGTCGCAATGCGTTAAAATCCATCAGTCGATGAGTGCAAACCTATTGAGTAGCCTGACTCTAGGATTAATAAAGGACTTGCACACATGGACAATGCGCTCGATCGATGCAACCTCAATGATCCCGTGCGTGGCCTCCTTCCGCCCCGGCACAAGTTGGGGGCAAAGAGTCTGGGGACACACCCCCTCTTCCTCGTAATACTTCACGAATACATATGCACCTTCCTCCCCGCTACAGTTCACCGCCCTGAAAATACAGAGACACCGCGCATACCACCACTCCTCCTCCTCCTCCTCCTCCTCCCTCTCTCCCGGTATTGCAATGTCGGTGAACCAATTCTCCTGCGGGCTTGCTTTCACGAACATCGCCTTCGGAACCAAGTAGCCCCCTTTCGTGCTAGGGATGGCCACTGCGGTGTGCACCTACCGGGTATGGGTGGGTTAGCATGAGGACTAACACCTTGTACGATGACGCCTCTTCACGAACGTGTCCAAGACACAACAGCCCAACCTCTTTACAACCGAAGCCATTAGCTTGATTACCGGGTTACTAACATGACAAATCATCTCACCAACACACGTGAAGTCTGAAGGCCTTCCGCGGCCATGAGTGTCGCCATGTTGTCAAACGCGCTGCCCACCGTCTCCCTGTACAGCATCCGCAGTGGGATC